GTGCAGGCGGCTTTTCTTCTGCCCGCGGTATCGCCGCCGCAGGCGGACGATCGCCCGTAGGGGAGAAGAAAGAGAAGCTATTTTCCTTGAAGCAGCAGGGATTCCAGCATCTGGTACTTCTTCCCCATCGCTCTCAGAGCAAGATGCCTCTTCTTTTGCATCGCTTTCAGCACAGGGCATTTCCCCTTCCCCATCGCTGTCAGTGCCGGGAATCTCTCCTTCTCCATCGCTGTCAGTGCCGGGAATCTCTCCTTCCACGCTGCCCTCAGCACAAGCTTCCTCTTCTTTTGGGCTGGCCATCTCTCCTTCTGCATCTCTCTGGGCACCAGACACTTCTCCTTCAGTAGAACTCTCCACACAGGGCATCTCCCCTCCCAGATCCGCTGCTGCGGCAGAGGACACTTCCCCATCCACCTCAGCACAGGGCAGCTCTCCATCCATCTTGTCGGGTTCTTGCAGCCCATTCACATCATCTTCTCTCTAAAAAGAGAAAGAACAATATAAGATCAATCTTTGTCAGATCAGGAAGTGACCAATGACAGTGAAATTAGACAGATATCCCGCTTTCTAATGGACAGAACAATTACCTGCAGCAGTGGCAAGGTGGCAGAGAGAGACTCTCAGACCTAAGCTAACTTTCTGGAAGGTGGCCTAGATGTGCAAAACCACAGATGAAATTCAGTATAAATAAATGCCAGTGGATGTGTAACACAAACCCAACCCTGCCTTCACATGCAGAAGGAAAGGGCAGAGCTGGCTGAGGCCAAAGCCAGAGGCTCCACCGTGAGGAAGAGGCAGGACAGCAGGACAGACTGACCCATGCTCTGAATCAGAGCTGCCCAGTCCTCCTTCCCTACACCTGCTAAATTTAAGGAAGACACAAAGCCACACCCCTGTGCCAGCACACCCCTCCACCCCTCTAGGGAACAGTCACTCCTACACCGTGACTGAGCCTGTCAGCAGCACAGGGCTGTGGGGAGAGGAGCAGGGCTGCCCCACAGGGAGGGGGTGGAGTCCCCGTCCCTGGAGGGGTTTGAGCAGAGCCTGGATGTGGCATCAGTGCCATGGGCTGGGTGACAAGGTGGGGTTGGGTCACAGATTGGACTCGATGACCTCAGAGGGCTTTTCCAATCTTAATGATTCTGTGACCCTGCTACCCCCACAGTCCAAGCCTGTCCCACGTGCCCACACATTCCCACCCTTGGACACGCAGCAGGCACTGTGTCCCCCCCACAGGAGCCCCCCGAGCTGCACAGGGGAGTGCAGGGACACGATCACCCTGGGAATACCCAACACATGGACAAACCTCAGCTGGCAAAGGAGGGGGACGAAGAGAGGCCCCAGCAGCGGGGTGTGACGACACGAAGCACAGACACGCTGGGGAAGCCCTCAGGAGAGCACAGCCTGGACGCAGCCACACGGCACAGGACACACAGCCACCTCCATGTGCTGCAGCCCCAGGGAGGGCTCTGTCCCTGCAGCAGCTGTGTCACAGGGGGAGGGAGGGTGTTCTTCCTCCACCTCTGGACCGCAGCAACACTGACGCAAGGGGTGGTTTGCTGCGGTGACAGTGCCAGCCCCCAGAGCAGGAAACTGGCGCGGGCAGGGCGGGAAAAGCTGCTTTCATCACCCACCCAGAAAGGTCAGCCCTGGGTCCTGCCAAAGCACCACGTCTCTGGGGAGGAGGAGGAGGAGGAAGACGTCCTAGAGGGTTTCTTATTAACTCGTTTCAGCTCAGCAGGAAGTCACCAACCTGCACAAAGTCACGTTCCCGAGTAGGTTCTGCTTCCCCTGCCTGAGGCTGATGCTGGCACGTTCCGAGCCCGAGGGCACCCAGGGAGCCTCAAGGGAGCCACAGGCACTGGGAAACACTCCCAGAGCCTCCTGGCTTCACCCTGCACCTTCCCTGGCTCCTCTGAAATGCTGGGACACGCGAGTGAAGCCTTCACCCCGCTCCAGGGACAGGTTGGTCCCAGGACCATGTGCCAGTGGCTGGTTGAACCGAGCCTGGCGCTCATCGCTGGAGCTGCCACTGCTGTGTAGCAATTAACCCTGAGTGCTAATTGCTGACCTAATTCCTGACCCGGTGCAGGCTCTGGTGTGCAAAGGCAAAACCAGCCAGACGGGATCTGGAGGAGGCCCTGAGGTGGCACCAGGAAGGAGGGCAGGATGCCACCACCACCCAGGATGCCACCAGGAGCCCTGGGCTGTCCCCACACCATGCTGGCATCACACCCTTGCTCCTCTCCATCCTGCACGCTTTGCCTTGCTCACAGAGGGCCTGAATCATAGAATCATAGAATCATAGAATAGATTGGGTTGGAAAAGACCTCCAAGATCATCAAGTCCAACCCCTGATCCAACTCCAATTACTATATCATGGCACTAAGGGCCACATCCAATCTCTGCTTAAAAACCTCCAGGGATGGTGAATCTACCACCTCTCTGGGTAGGCTGTTCCAATGCTTGATT